GTTCTGGTACTGTTGGACTTGTTCTAAAAGTTCTGGTACTGTTGGACATGTTCTACTGTTTTTGTCGTTTTCCACTGGAAGTTCAGGAATGTTCTCTGGAATATTCATGTTATTAGTGAGTGTGACAGCTGAGAGGTCAAAGGTCAGGCAGAGAAGTGGACACACACACACACACACACACAGACTGTGTGTGTGTGTGTGTTCTTGATCTTTCTTGTGTGTGCTGCTGGAATGTTACACATGAACTGTTTGTTTGTGAGTGTGTGTGTGTGTGTGTGTGAGTGTGAGTGTGAGTGTGTGTGTGTGTGTGTGAGTGTGTGTGTGTGTGTGTGTGTGTCCTCTGGACTCTGCTGTGGAGACAAAGTCTCTGGGTTCACCTTCAGACCAAAGACGGGGATTTGACGACTGTTTGTTGATTTTAGAACCAGACAACAGACACAGCCAACAGACAACAGACACAAGATCAGACAACAGACACAGGTCTACCCAACAGACAACAGACACAGGACCAGCCCACAGACAACAGACACAGGATCAGACCACAGACAACAGACACAGGACTACACAACAGACAACAGACACAGGACCAGCCCACAGACAACAGACACAAGATCAGACAACAGACACAGGACTACACAACAGACAACAGACACAAGATCAGACAACAGACACAGGTCTACCCAACAGACAACAGACACAGGATCAGACAACAGACACAGGTCTACACAACAGACACAGATGTTTCAACTACAGACATTTTTAAAACGTTTATAATTTTGGTATGATGTCATTCAGGAGTCAGGAATCTGAACTGGTTTAGTCTAACTTGACCTCCCCCCACACACACACCCTCATGCCCCCCCTCCCTCCCCCCCCCTGTGGTCCATATTCAGGGTTTAGGGTTTGTTTGTTTTCCTCATGCTTTGACAGACGCCTCACAAATTCCTCGGCTGTTTCTGTTCATTAACAGAAAGACATCAGTTCACACTGACTCACACACACACACACACACACTCACACACACACACACTCACACTCACGGACGACTGACGTTTATAAAAGTGTGTCACAGGAAACAGGAACAAGTGAGACCAGAATAACAGAAGAATAAATCACATGAATCAGAGAGGAATGGGAGTTAGCTCGATGCTAATGACGAGTCCACGGTTGGAATTCAAAAAATATGATGAATGTTAATCTGTATCAAAGTAAAAAAAAGTCAAGGTTTGATTTAGAAGGAAATTCAACTTTAATAAATTAAACCTTCACTAAGATTTGTTTAGCTTAGTTGTTTGAAACCATGTTAGAACGTTAGCCAAACATTACTAAAAGTTGCTAACATTTAGTCTAACATCTACTCACAGTTAGATTGAAGTAGTTTAATAAAGTGACACGAGTAGAAAAACGTCGACATTTAATATTAGGCAAAAGATAAAAACTTTTTTTAAATGCTACAAGCTAGCTAAGAATGTAGCGAAACACAAACAAAAATGACAAAACCAAAGATAACGGCTAAAGGTTAGCCAACGATGAGTTGGTCAAAAAAATGACAACAATAACAGAGTACGTCCAGGGCCACATCCAACCTGAGGAGGTACAGTGACCGGCCCCAGAGCCAGACTTTGGACCAACCTGTCTTGTTTCTGTGTTTCCTCCTCAGTCCAGAGCGATGCGTGATCGATGGCTCCTCCAGGGGACGGGAGAGGAGGAGGAGGAGGTGAAGAGGAAACAGCTGCAGCAGGATGAAGAACAGGGGAAGAAGCTGGAAGATCTGATCCACAGGTAGGTCCACACACACACACACACACACACACACACACTGAACTGGAGTAAACTGGACGGCCACTTGGTGGTGATAGTGAGCAGATGTGTGTGTTATGAAACTGATTCATCTGTTCCTGTTTCTGAAACTATGGACCGTTAACTAACAGTTCTAACAGTTCCACTCTCTGTCTCTGTCCAGTTGGTCTGGACCGCACTGGTACTGTTGGACATGTTCTATAGGTTCTGGTACTGTTGGACATGTTCTATAGGTTCTGGTACTGTTGGACATGTTTTATATGTTCTGGTACTGTTGGACTTGTTCTGGTACTGTTGGACATGTTCTGGTACTGTTGGACATGTTCTATAGGTTCTGGTACTGTTGGACTTGTTCTGGTACTGTTGGACTTCAGATCAATCAGAACTTCAGCCCAGGCTTGAAGATCAGAGCTGAGTTGAAGACATGACCTCGATGGTTAGAACGTCTTGATTTTTTTTTTTTTTAGCCTAAATTTTCCTTGAAGATTCCAGGCCGCTCAATTTTCCGACATTCTGCCGTAGTGAATTCTGATCAGAAATCCCATAATCCATTGTTGAATCGTCTAAAAACCTTGGGCGTAGCTACGTAAATTTGACCAGGAATCAAATCTACGTCCAAGTGGCTTCAGCTCCGACGTCCAGTGAACAACTGACAGAACCTGGACCAGTGAAAACCAGGGTCCACCTGGACCAGGGTGTGGAGGAAAAAGAGAGAGTGACGAGACACTCGGAGCACTTCCTGCCTTTGTGTCTCTGGGAGGAGTTTCCTGACTCCCATCATGCCCTGCTGAGAGACACTTGGTCCCAGACGAAGGCCGATGTGACGACATCGGCCGTGGATTAAGATCGTAGTTTTCCACAGACACAGACTGAAACATCAGTTAGTTAAATATAAATTCAGCTGTGATAGGATGGACGGGAAATAAAGCACGTACTAAGAAGTGTGGGGTGGCAGAAAAGTACATGAGAGTGGTGCTCTGCACATGCTGGACATGGAAAGAAAGACAAGAGTGAGTCTGTCACCAGAATGTCGGAAATCTTCAGGGTAGGGATCGGATTAAATGAGGAAAGAACAATCACAGACGGCTCACGACACCTGCAGCTCTACTGTAAATTATTATCTGTTTGGGAATAACAGAACAGTGTGCAGTCAGAATGTGCGATGGGTTCATGGTAAAGGAAAGAGGAAGAAGAGAGGAATGGAGTGGAACCATAATGATTGATGTAAACCAGCGGTCTTTATCCTAAGAGTGTGTGACTCTATTGCC